TAGTCTTCTTATTTATTGTTATTGTCATCCTGTAAAGCGCTTTGAGAAGCCACCTTTAAAGGCGCTATATAAAATAAAGTTTATTATTATTATTATTATTATTATTACATTCCTCTTTGGTTGGTATTATTTGCGTGGTCAGCTACTCTTATAATTTATCATGACATACCATGACAATACCATGTGCAAGTCCATTGTTGTTATTACAAGGCAAGGCCACATATTTGGTTTGTAATTTATAGCAGATGAAATTGTGGCTTAAGTATCTGTGTATCTGCGATGAGGCACTGTAGAAGGGGAAAAATCATCACCTACAGTATAAAACATACTGTATAGGTCAACAGAGGACAGCAATATCCATATTCATAGGAAGTTAAGCTGCTTTTTAACTAGCTATGTATTTATTTAAAATAAAATAAACATATCACCACATCCGGTAAATCTCAGAAATTTAAAATAATTGTACTTCACATTCAGTTTATTATCCTGTACATTAACATTTCCTCAAATATATTGCTAAAACAATTCCATACTGTGTAAATGTTAGTGAAGTATGAAAGGCTTGTCAGGGTCAGGTTCTAGGATTGTGGGGTTCAAATTTAGTATCTTATTTATATCTGAAAAAAAAAAACAATATTAATTTAATTACATTACATTACAAATACATTTCATGTAAGTGTGTATGTTACAAGGCAAATATAAAAAACTGAATTTCAGGAAATGTAAACCTTAATTTTAAATACTGTAGGTGAATCCACTAGACGGATAGTCGAGGCTTATTCTTACTATCCAACATGTATTTAATATTTAAGTTTATGTGTGAAAACCCTTTCTTAAAATACTTCATTACTTTAAGCTGAATAAGTATCTGCATATACAGTACTGTTTGTACAGTATAGTGTATATACAGACCTTCATTGGTGATGACTACATATAATTGAATTTGCCTTTAGAGAAAAAGATGGATTTTGCATTTTAGCAAACATTTCCCACTGGAACTTTAAATCATTTTTTGGAAGTAAAAACAATTTTACCCTGTCTTCATTATTCCCTTGTAACCACTAATACAGCACTGGCAGACCATGTTTTCACAAATTAGTGTCTCCACTGAGAAACTGGCGGTTAAGTATGGCAGGGTATGTAAAGAAATATTTCCCAAACCAAGCAATTTCTCATAAAAGAGAAATTGAAAGCTACTGCATACTTCAAACTGAGTTACTGGCTTTTGATGGCTGTATTCAGACTACTGAAGGCTGTCTAAGACGCAAAGATCCCAGGAGAATGTTGGAGTGCTTTCTGTTAAGTGGAACATTTTGCATGCTAGCTTTTCCCCCAGGGGGCACTACACAGCAGCACTTGAGCCTGCCTGACTTGACCTGCTTTATGATGATGGTGCTTGTCATCCCATGTTGAAGGGTTAAACTGTCCAACTCAGTTTGCCAGCACAACTTTCCCTGAGTGCTGGCATATTCATACCCTTGGAAAAAACAGAGTTAGCCTGCCAGTGAACTTTGCTTTTGGCAAATGCTTCCTCATTTGAAAGCTAGCTCTATATCAGTGAAGATGGAAATCAAATAAAAAAGTTGAGCTGTCATGCAAAGCGTAGGGTCTGGGCTGTCTTTGTAAGCTCTGAAGGCAATGGCTCTTGTTTAGCAGAGCTGGTTTACCCAAGGGCACAATTTGCAGAGGTTTTGGGGAAAGGAAAAAATGACACAGCAGCTGGAATACAAAGAAAACAAAATCAGATGCATGCAATCGGTCCTTGGCCAGCTCTGTCAGACTGAAAAGCTTGCTTCTGATTTGACAACACGTCAGGTAATTACACAGCACTCTGCTACGCTTCTCTGCTGGGATGGGGTTTTGCAATTAGCTCAATGACTGCTGCTGCATTTTGCAATGTGTTTCATTGTTGTGTTTTTGTTTCCTAGCTACAGGGCCTTGTTTGTACACCAAATGAGGAAGATAAGAGAGAAGGCATATTGAGCATATTGAGTGTCACTGATGTATGGTGGAAATGAAAAGTACCTCAGAATTTTAAACAGATCTGCCTTTATTTGTAGTAATGTTTTCATTCCGTGATTTTTTTAACAAAGCAAACTTTCCTTGTGACAGTGGGAAGTTCCTATGATGCTCTAGCCTATTTATACATATTTTCAGGCCAGTTATTAAAAACAATCTAGAAAAAGCTTAAAGATATTATATCATTTGAAAACTCTCTCTGTAGAAAAGTATAAACTATAATTAGTTAGCTGATACAACTGCACCAAGTTATCTAACCATATTGTCAAAGCAGACAACCTAACTTCTATATATAGGAAAATTGGATCAGTTAACTAGTATTAACCAAATGATCAACATGAGCCTGGAATTAGCTTTTTTTTTTCTACCCTAGTAATTTGGAAGACTCCAGCTGTTAATCAGTTCTGCATACACTGCAACAATCTTACCAGAATAAGACATACAGAAGGCTTCATAAAAACCAAAAAAGCAAATAACAGAGACAAGCATTGGGTGGAGAACTGATGCAGCCTTTCAGATAACACTGAAACCGCATCTGGTTGCGGATTGTAAGCAAATTGCAATACATTTTTTGCCATGGTAATGAAATTCCTGCACATCTTGAAGCCATCCAGCATTGCTCAGACTTGCGGAATCTCAGTCACAACCCAGCAGATGACATTGTCCAGATCTGAAAAACTGATCTCCGGATTGCAAGATTCAACCTGCTCCATAAAAAGAGGCATTTAAAAGTTGAGTCATATGGAAGCCCCCAGGTTTCTGTGGGAGTTTGTGAATTTCTTAGCTGTCTAATAAATCATGTGAAAAGAACAAGCATCATGATTGCAATAGTGGGATACAGTATATTCTGGTGGAAATATGGTATGGTTCTGGCCTGCATTGTCTGAGTGAATAAGGATGGAGAAGTAATTCTGTTTGAGATGTAATTCCTTTTATAGACTTTTCGACATTAATATTTTTTGCAAAAGCAATATGAAAAAAGCCAAAAAATCTGATATCTGCAGATTTCAGATGAGCAGGAATGTTTTTTTCACAGGAATGGTTTGGAATTTTCTGTGTGGGCCTGCAGACTGCAAGTGAATGTCGATGGTTTTTTGCCTTAGTAATGAAATCCCGGCAGAACCTTCTACTTTTAGAAAACAAATTCCTGGTTAGTAATGAGAGTGGCAAAGAACTGGACTGTGGAGCTAGTGGGTAATGATAGGTCACAATCTTGACAGTAGCATAATGGAGTAGTTCTAGTGCCAAGCTGCAATGGATCACAATGTCTCCATTGTTGAAAAACAATGTTTGGTTGCAAAGTGGAATGAAGTTGATCTAAAATGTTTTGTGTTCATTACATTAGACCATTTGCTTAAAAAAATATCACAAAACAGCCGTGCTGTGATGCAACAGATTTTCCACAGCTGGTTTGAAAAGTGAACAGTAACAGGAAAAAATTGTGAATTGTGGGCTTGGGTACTCATAAAGTTATTTGGCATTATTGCAGCTCAATACTGAAGAACTGAACAGAAAGTAAATAGGAAATAAGAAGTATTCAATGAACAAGAACATTCAGAAACCAGAGACTGGGATTGTATAACTTGCCAAAAGCCAGTCTTCCACATTTTGTATTACATGGAATTTTCTGGCTAGAATGTGCTGCATTGTAGGGTCAGTTTGTTGTTTTGTTTTTTTACAGTTGTAGTAAGTAAAAACTTTGAGGCTGGGTTTTAGTGAACAGAACAGAAGATGACCTATGCAAATTAACTCTTCCTGTGCTCCCCTATTATTAGTTTTTCACACCTGGCACTATCCTGCTTTAACATTAATTGTGTGAAGACGTGAATCCCATCTGCAGTTTTGCAACTTTTTGAGGCAGTGTATTTGTATCAATTTTTCAGTAACAAAAAACATGTTGAACTTGGCTGGATGGGTTATCATTAACCAGAATGTATTAAGTCTTCCATTTCTTAGCTGTTTCGTGTATTATGCTAGGAAATATTATTTTCGTATTCCTACTGTACATGAACACCTTATTCTGTAATATTGATGATGTTTTCACTTTTTTATAGCGTGTTTGTGTATATGTGTGTATGCAAAGGGACCTGGTCAGTATACAGTATGTTTACAAAGGTAAAATGTCAAGACCAATTTCGACATCAAACCAAACATAGAAATCATTTAATAGACTAGGAGTGAAAATGTTGCTATCCCCAGCCTTTCCAAGACTTCTATCTTTAAATCAGTTATAGAAGAGTAGGTATTCCTTTCCACCTGTCAGACAAGGAAACTGTAAGTGTCATACTTGGGTCAGACAAGATGGAGTCTGTCTTCGGCAGAAACTGGTCACAACGCACTCCTTGGTACCCCTCTTTACACCTGTGAGAGAAAAACAAGGAGAAGATGTGTTTACAACCTCAAGGTCACATGATATAGTAGAAGTATGGTAGTAAATAGTTTACTATACATTATATAAAGAGGGGAAAACAGTTCTTTTAGACAGCCATATTCTGTTGGTAGCCAATATGAAGACATCTCATCTTTTGACCTAAAAAGACAGTAAGGCAAGAAAGACAGGAAGACACAGCGTGGCCAATGATGAGAGAGTATAGTATTTGAAGCAGATTGTGCAAACTCAAAATGAAATGTATTTAGGACATTAAAATTAATATCCTTACACTTATGAACAGTGCCATGATCTTTTAATGAACCAATAGTCAGGACCTTCATTCAATGTAAATGGTGGCTCCTCCTACTGTAAAGTAAAATATTACCTAAGGAAAAAGATTCTTCATCACAATAGGCATCCCTCTTCTTAAGGGCACTCCAACCCTTTCATATTTTAGTTGATTTTGTGCTCCTGTTTTGTCTTCTTATTGAAACCTGGTGCTCTCACTATTCCCGGCTCAGCATTGGGAGATGGACGTCCGGGATCCCACCTACCAGCAGGTCTAGGAGAGACCTGATGGCATAGGCTTTATCATGCCGTCCTGACCATCTGAGTCCGGGGCTCGGCGCGCCTGGCCTCATTACCCTTGGTAACGGATCATGTTCCAGATTTTAACTTTTGGACTGCACCCCGGATTCCTCCCTTTGGACTGTCTGTACCCGTTTGCCCTTGCCACGTTCCCCAAGCACCAGATCACTATCATCAAGCCCCCCTGTCTGTCTACCCCTCTAATCCTGCTGTACCTTCCCCAGATGTCTTTCTCCACTTACTGTACTTCCGGATTATACCATCTGCATAGGGTCCTGAACTATGCTTTGCGGGAGCCTTACATCTGTATGTGTGGATAGAGTTAATTTTAAAATCATTTACTGTGCTAAAATGCCCTACTAGTAATTAAATGAATAATGAAATAAGCAGCCTGGACAGGGTGATAATATAATACAAAACCAATCATAAAATAAAGCAGACACAAATGTTGTGTTAGCTTGGCCTTGTTCATCATCATACAGGGCCTGATGTGGACATTCATGCAGAAGACTATTAATTTGTGGATGCAGACATTTTAATGAAGTACAATTCTTCTACTATATAACTGGGAGACTTGCTAATTTTGGTAGAATACATCTCTGTGCATTTTATGCACAGGAATGGAGGCCCAGAAAAGGGAAATCATTAAAGATGAGGTAGGTAAATAGGGTTGGTTTGAGAGTCAGGAGTTTGTCAGTGCATGCATACTGTCATACAGTTAAAGAACACTTGGCATCTGCCATTGGACAAAAAGCCTCAAACCATGCCTGAAGACTCATGCTTAGGTTAGTGCTCAAATGGTGTGTACAACAGTGTACAATGGTGTTGCTTGCACCACCTGCTTGGCCTTAAACACTGAAACTTATTTGAAATAAGCAGATAGTGCTACTAATAAATAGCCTTATACATAGATAACATAAACATGAAAAATGATACCACAAAACTAACAGCAAGCAGAAATCAAAGCACACACAAACATAACTGAACAGTGACTACTCGCTTTCTCTCTGTCTACAGTACATGCATTAAAGATCTGTAAAAACCAGTAATGGTGGTTAGAGGCTAGTTACGCACATCTCTCTCTAGGCTCTAGGTTCAATTCTAAACTGGGCTGCCATGTGTTTGGAGTTTGCCTGTTCTCCCCATGTTCACATGGGTTTTAACAAGTAAAGTTCTTTTTCAAATTTGTCTAAAGAGCACAATCTTTTTTAGAAACAGAAATCCAAACTTATGTTTCTAAATGAGTACCATTCATACCAGATTTACAGTAGATGATCTGATAGAATGTTAATGTAACAATTGTATTATATCAATATGGGAGATTTTCCTTGATCATCTTGCAGTACCTGTTGCAGATATTCATTTAGAATGCAGATGCTCATACTGTACAATAAGGAAAAATTGTACACTTACAATGTATGTGTGGATATTCATCATGAAGTGTCTTACTTGTGTGGATAATGTGTCTAGTGTATTTAGGAATGTGGAACTTACTGAATTTCAGCAACAGGTGCTACAGTATATATGAAAGAACCACTACAATTAATGTTACAGTATCTCTTATATAATGCCAACTATTTGACTTCACTAAGAATTACAGTGGCACATCTTGAAGCATGCAAAACAAATATACTGTAGGTTTCTCCTACACACTGTGTGGGTTCTCTGGTTTTGGAAACAAGAATTCACAACTGTAAGTGAAAACGTTTATTGAAAGAGATTGTATTTCCCTTGCTGTCTGGAATCTCTCCAATCAGTTAGTGGGTTCCAGACAGCTGATTTAAAAGCTCAAGCATATGACACATAGAATCTTTAAATATATATCTGTCATGTAACAAATCAGGCTAAAATTACCATAAAATTAACATGCATAGCTCTGAGCAATAATGTTAGAGAAGATGTTTTAGGTAGTTGAGTTTACAGTTACTTGCAGTTTAAATTATGTGGAACTTTATAAAAGGAGAGCAATATTATAATTAAACCTACTGCAATATTAGTGGTAAATGCTTGGAGGGTAGAACAGTCTCTTTTCTGATACTTTAGCCCAGCAATGGATTTGACTTGATCTCTTACCCCTGACTCATTATTGACTGCTACAGAAGTGGCCTTGCTGACACTCACAAGAATGGCTGTTTTCTTAATGTTTGCTGGGATGGAACCAATAAATCTGGGGCTATTTTTGCCTGTGGCAACCTGTCAGTTACAAAGGGTCACTCAGGTAGTGGGACCTCTTCAGAGTCGGGTCAGGGATTGATTGTTAAACAGTTGTCACATACAGTATGTCTGTGTTCTTCTACCTTGCTTTTCAGTGTTGTTCTGCACAAATTGCAGCGCCCTCTGGTAAGAATCATGATTATTCATTTTTACTGATTTTGGTTTTGCTGCTGTGCTTGCTCTGGCACACCTGCACCAGAAAACTCATTAGTTAGGGAAGAGTGATTGGAATGTATATAATTGTCAAAGGTGGTAGAAGGTATGGAGTGCTGCATGGTTTTTAAATAGTACTGAAGTTGTTAATTAGAAAGAACAAAAGCATGGAGCTGGAGAGAATCCCTCCTTTCCAAAGAAAAACTGTACACACTTCGTAAAAAGTATGGGAAATGATCATTTCCAAGAAGCTGGTTTATTAGCTCTGTACAACTAATGAACAATGCATTGTTTATTGCGTTTATCTTTTATTAACTTATTAACTGCACTCTTGTTGTGTTATCTTGTCACATGACTTCAGAGCATTGACATGTTATTTTCTACATATATGTTTTCTCCACAATAAAAAGAAATGTCATTATTCATTACTTGTACCATCGCAGGTTTCCTTTGAGTCATTTGCTTATTTCTAGATTAAAAGAAGGAAAGATCCACGAAGCATGGATGTTAAAATGCCCCATTCACAAATGTAAGAAAAGCAAAAAAATAGAAAAAGAAGAACAAATATGGCTTAGGACACCGAGTAATTTAACTAATTGCAAATGACCTATTGGATAACTTTTGTCTATGAACTAATTTGTAGTAGTGGTGTCTGAAAGGTGGTATATAAGAAGAGATTGATTGATTAATTGAAACTAGCGGAGAGATGGGAAAAAATTCCAGTATGCTGCCCTGCATTGACTGGAATGTGTGTTCATAAGGATTAGTGATTTATACTTTCTGTATAAATAATACTTTATTAATCCCATAGGAAAATTGATTAATCAAATTAATTAACTTGACTGCTTGTGAAAGGGTATATAAAGGAGAAAGGTTGTGCTCCTGTAGCATCAATAGCAATATTGTTTTAAAAGCTTATTAAATAAATACTAGTTCAAACAGGCACTGCTGAGGCACTAGTGAGACATTATTTGGATGGTTGGGTATTTCACACTTTGTACTACAAAAAACGTTGTGGCTTTTGTTCAATTTTACAAAAGAGCAGCAAATCTAATCTGAGGTGAGGGATGTTAGCTCAGAGTAAAGGCATTAATCTTATTACTGGAAAAATTACCAGCAAGAGAGATGGAAGGAAGCTTTCAATATAATTAAAGACCTTGGTAAACTATCTGCAGTACAGTGCCCACAATGTAGAAAGTCAATATATGGTTAAATTAATACAAACAGTTTTGTCATTACAGTATATGGTCATTTTTATAATATGACAACTTGTTAATGTTTGATTGAAAACTCTTTATTAATTAAACTGCAAAACGTGAGTATTTAAACTCCTTAGACCTTTACTTCCCAGTACCTTTTTTTTATAGACTTTGGAAAATTAAGCTTTTAAAATGTGTTAAATGACAGAAAACAGTCCCTAATCAAAATTCATTTTCTCTTTCTTTCAGAGAAATGCTTCTCAGTGATTTCGTTTTGAAGAAACTATTAGAAAGAGAAGATAAAAATAAGAAAAATATTACATTTCTGGATGTATTTTTCAACCTAGCACTGCAGCTGAATACGTTTCTGTTTGTGGCCAGCTTTCACAAATTATACTTTAATGTGTTAAACAAAATGCCACCAGCTTGGTGTACAACAATAAGGCTGCTTTAAGGCTGTACAGTATCAGAGTACTTCCAAATGCAACTTTTTATTTTGTTCTTAATGACAGTAAAAATATTTTTTTTACAATGCAGCCTTATCATAGCAGTAAGAGGATTTCAAATTTGATCTGACAAAAGAGAGGTCTTGTCTTTCAACTAAGTGTCCAGACGTATGTGGATTTCCACACAGTTTTGAGATGTATCCTCCTGTGACGAAGGACTTTTTCACACCCTCATCACATGACATTTGCTGCCTTTACACCATGGCAACATGCATAATTGAAAAATAGACTAAAGACAAGAAGGACACAGATGTAGAAAGCAGGGATTTCTGGAGTAACCCTGTGACCAACAGGGCATTGAAAATGACTGATGATGATTTAATTACATGG